GAAGGTTGGTGTGGCTCTAAGAAAGGAGGATTCTCTGTCGGCAGAGTAACGAACCTTTCTAAGGATGGAATCTCGTAGCTCTAGCGTCATCCAACCAATCAGAAGGCTCCAATCACATGGCTAGCGAATCATGAGGCTCCAAGGTGACTTTCTGGCAAAGTAGTTGAGCTCCATAAAACGGCGGCTGAAACGTCTTTTCACTTCCTGGGCACCATTTCTATATGTTTTCCTCTCTTTTGAATCTTGGTTCCAACAACTAGATCTCGAAGTCCCCTAGGGTTACCAAGTGATCCACTAGTTTGCTTTGACCTGAAAATGCAATGAACAAGCGTATCAATCATATAAAAGGAACCTAGGGTTGCTAAAGCATGCTTGAAGCATTCATAGCACAAATTCAAGGTATTATGACGATAATGATAGGAAATGAATGCACTTTTGGTCATAATACCGGGGGGGGGGGTCTATAATAACTCATTCTACGTGTCATCGGTATGCATTTTTTGCTTAGTGGTTAAACGAAACCGAACAGATTTGCACCTCTAGACTTTTAGGAAACATTTCAGATTTGAAGTGTTTTATCAAAGAATCCAAGATCAAGTGTAGAAAAGTGTGAAAAGAGTGAAAAGAGAATATCACGGCCAAAAGTGAAAGTTCACGACCTAGAAGATGTAAGCCAAAATGACTTCATGGCTGCAATCTTATCAGTAGAGCTGCAAACTTGGAGAAGTTGGTGGCAAGACTACATAAGATCTCATGGTCCATCTCGCAGTCCTTCACTTTGAGACCGCGAAAAATGACACGCTTATGACTTTTAGTTCGCAAGCATGAAGTCTGGACCATGATTTCTCCGCCAGAGTGGCCAAACACGTCGCCATTTCGAGGTCAAGACCCAAGGAAAGAGATCGTAGCTACGATCTTTTGATTGGTAACCGCAAACTTCTTAGTGCCGTTGATCTTCTATATAGAGGGTTGCTCCCCTCATTAAGACAGACTTTGGATTTACAAACCCTAGAGTGAGGAGTTAGAGAGAGAAGCAGTTGCCTTGGACAGGAAGAGGAGAAGGAGGAGTTTGAATAGGAATATCTATGCACAAGAAGAAGCTCATCATTTATGTTTTCTTCCTTTCTTTTTGTGGCTTTCCTCCCTCCTTTCATGGGCTAGTTTCCTAAGGTACTTGGAGCTTCATCCCCCAAACCCTAACTTGGGTATGATATGTAATTGATAGGGTAATATTAATTTAAAGTTAATTTGAGATTATCTAGAGTATTTATGTGCCTCTTTCTGAGTATGGGTGCATGAATGCATGTATGTCATGATCTAGTCTAGGTAAAATCAGGCTAGCTCTTGATTTTATGTGAATGATTACCCCTAGCTTAGTTAGTTGATATTGAGTCTTAGTTGGTGGACGTGATGACCATCCCTTGCCAACTAGGAGCTCACCTAGGTAATGCTTGGGACTCGAGTGCATGACCATCGACTCGAGGACCGAGTGTGCGGATGGGTAGAACCTGTTTAGAGGAGATAGGCCACTATCCCTAGTCATTGAAACCGGTTGAAGTAACGTTGGGCCGATGAACATGGTCATAAGGAGGATCGGTGGCTTGAGCATTGCATTGGTTCCCACTTCCCAGTTTAGTGTTCTCTGCACCTACGTTACCATAGATGTTTTACCTGTTGATTTCATATATACCCGATGTTAGTGTGAGGATACCCCAAGTATCATTCTATCTATTCTGGTTTCAGTGTTAACAATTCCTTAGTAATAACAACAACCAATTGTCTATTAGATAAAAGTATATTTAATAAGAGTAGGCTAGGGTATAGACGACCCCTGAGGAATACAATCAAGCTGCTATACTGCAAGGCTGGCAGTATAATGGCCATTATCAGGGTTAGTGAGCATCGTTTTATCACTTGATCTAACACCACATGGAATCAATATTGCTCGAGTCAAACACAGTTGATGACGCTTAATTTATAATGTTTGCCACTCCAATATTTGATATATTTTCCCCTTCTATCAATGCATCTTTAGTAATTTTTATTATATTTCATATGAAATTCGTAATTATTTGATATATGAGCTTATGATAGATCTTGAGTTTGTTTTTGTACTATTTTATGCCTTTTGATGTTATTTCATGGATATAATGCACTCAAGACAATATGGATAAGAAGGAAGTTGTGATGAGCCCAAGGTAGGGACTCTGGTCTGAATCGCGCAGCTAGGGTGATTAGGTTGGAAAGATGATGATTTTGTGGTGAAAACAGAGGCGGATTTGGGTGATCGATAAGGTTTATTCAATCAACTTCAAACGTGTTTTCTACAAATCAAAGTGAGGTTATTTATAGCCATATAATTCTAATTACAATCCTAAAGAAACAATGACACGAAGTAGAGCTAAATAAGGAAAGAAAAGCAAACTAAAACTCGGTAACTTGCGCTCCAAGCATCATCCTCCTCGGCCAAGCAATCAATCTAGAAAAGCAGTCTTTGTACGAACTTCATGCTTCTGGAACATGGTCTTCTGGGTTGATTCGAAGGAAGCCAATTCCTTCCCTAGGCTTAGAAAGTTTCACAGTTTTATATCCAACTCAAAGCACCAATTGGTTGCATACCAAACTCCACAAATAGTGCCCCAAAGTTGGTCCCAAAAACTCTGTTTCTGCCTTAGCCAAATTCTAGCAGATTTCAGGTTGCAGGATAGGTTTTTGATTGCTTTGAAAAACGACCTTCCTGGCATCCCCTCGACAATCCAAATGCACCAAGTTGTATAGGAGCATCCAATCTTCAAACAAACCCTAAAACTTGCATTTTCACTTTGCCATTTGAAATAACCAACCTCCAAAGTATGCTTCCCAAAACTGTTCCAACACTTAGACATTTTACAGCTTGTTTCTTATCAACTGGATCCGATCTTTGAGCGATCAATTGGAGCTTGTACAATGATGGAATTGAGCTTATATCAAGATGAAAATACAAGCTCATGGGATCAAACAATGATGGATTCTGACACCGAATGCTCATTTTATGGACAAGAGAAAAATATTTTGAAGTGCAGACGGATCAAATTAAGTCCAAACGAGCTGAAATTTGAGGAGCAACTCACTAAGCCCAAGATGAAGTTATCCACCAAAAATCAGCCCATTTGAAGAAGATAAAGGGGATCGGCGATCCAATGGCGGCCCAACCCATCACCAACAAATCATGCCAAAATTCAGAGGGGGAGTTGCTTGTGAGCCAAACAACCGAGCCCAACAAAGAGAGAGCACTCCAAGGGAGGCAATCCATGTCTGGCGTCAAAATTAATGACTTTAAATAAAAGTGCTTCCGCGGAGACAACCCAAATTTTCTTTCCTGGATTATTTTTAATTTCATAGTTTGTTTTTGGCTTGAAATTTTGAGTTACTCATTGGAGGGAAACATTGTATCCTTTGGATAGTGTTACATTTGGAGCAAAATTCAATCTTATAACAAGAGTTAAGGATTATAAGACATGAAAATAGTACGAAACCAACTTTTGTACTATCGAGATAAGTGTTCTAACCCAAAAATGCTGGAATGCAAAAGTAGAACGCGAGAGGCAGCCACATCGGCCACCAACGCTGCTACTCCTACCCCAATAAATGACAATTTTTTGCCATACCATCCCACCCCACTCAACCCACATTTTCACTTTCCCCTCTCCGTCTTATCCGAAAATCCTTTCCCTTCTCTCTAGAATTCAAATTCCTCCCAAATAGTTCAACTTTAAATCATCAATTTCATCTCCAAAACTCCAAATTTTGTCCTCACATTTGGGGTACAACATACCCATCACCTACCAAATAAATCTCATTAAATGAAAATCCAAAAAAACCATCAGAGAATCCCCGACAGATATACCTGTCGCAACACCATCGCCGTTGTCCCTCTTCGGTCTTTGATTTTTCTTTGATTTTTCCACAATTTTCTTCACTCCAAGTACCCATGATCTTCAAATGAATTTAGGAGCTTGAGCCATGAATTTAGGACTTCGATTGAGGATTTCAAAGTTTAAAATTGCATGAGATTGGTAGGAGAATTTTTTGCTATTTTCGGTCTATGTTAGGCACAATCGATTTTTATGTACGAGTGGTGGTTATATGGTTAGAAATGAGATGCATTGTCCTTATTATGGGTTTTAACGTATGTATGATTGGATGGATTGATGAATTTCAGCAAAGGCAATGCCAAAATTTTCAAAATTCTAGCATAGCACATTTTCAAATTGAGCTTTAAACGTCAAAGCTCTGGTATATTTCAAATTTTTTGGTATATGTATTTAAGTTCCGAAATTACAATGAGAGTAGGAAATTATTAGTTTCAATTTCACTACGAAGTTAGATTGAATGCATGCCATTTTGCTTGTGTCAATTTATCGATCTTTGCTTAATCTTATAACTTGGAGCTTTCAAAGATTTCAAAAAATGTGTTTCGTACTACTTCTACATTTTTAAGTAGAATATCTCCTATTTTTATACAAGTTTAAATGATAGATGAATTTTATGGATTACTATCTTGTTAATACGTACCCGACAAGTTATATGATTTGCTTATAAAGAAACCACACCCTTAAAGTGTGGATTTATCCCCAATGATTTATCCTAATTTAGTTTCTTTTGAGCAGGACAATGACAGGTTCTTTCTCGTAGTTAGAAAGAAAGGAGACAATGACACTTCTTCACATCAGGAGGCCTGAGGCATCCTAGTTTGCCTAGAGCAGAGCCAGAGTTTGTAGCAGCGCGACGATCTACAAGACTTACAAGGAGGGAGCCGACGATCATGATCGAGGAGGATGAATTTTCAAGGGAGTCGAGTTCACACTTTCTATTTGCTCAAAATCCTCAAGTCACACCATCAGAAGGCTATCAATGGATAGTGGGAGATCAAGGAGCAGGAGTGGATAGCTGCCACCAAAATCCAAGGTGATGGAGACCGAGAACTTTTTTTTTTTACTGAAATCTGCGCTAGGCTTTTATTACGAATGAGAAGCCATTACAGAATCCAGCTCCAGCTGGTCAATTACACTCATAGGGGGTCTATCAAACCAAATTTCAGTTTCATTCCATCTTGTCTTCATATGTGCCATGATGTGTGTTGCCGCGTTTGCCGATCGGTAGACATGTCTGTAACCACCATCACCCATTTCCTGAAGTAGCCTCTTAATATTCCTGCATATCACTCCAAGTTCTGTCTGGTCCCTGTTCGCATCACGGATACGATTCAGCACCGACTCACAATCCATCTCGAGAATGGGCAAACCAAGCTGCCACATGTTCGTTATAATTAGTTATTACTAGCTATCTAAAAATAATGACAAAATTATGTAAGTAAAGTGAAAAATCAACACTCAATTGATTTCGTCCAAAACTGTTTTTACCCTTTCCTTAATTTCCATGTTATGCCTACATAATCAAAATAACTATTTTTTGCCCAAGATTACAACCCCTTCCTACTAAGATGGTTTAACAACATGGTGGGTGTTTTCACACTCATAATTAGGGATAGCCAACAACCTGGTCCACCCTGAACCAAATCGTACTAGATTGATATTTGAAACGAATTGGATCGAATATACTTTGATTAAGTTTTGATCCTATTAATTATTTTAAATATGAAAAAAATGAACCATAATAAAGGCATGTTGATTATGACTAATGACTAATGGAAGTATACCTCTAAACTTGCCTCCTCAGACCTTAGAAATACACTTATAGAAAAAGTTGCAGCATGATATATGTTTATAATGCCTTATGGTATTAGCATTGGGACCTTGGGAATGAGGGCAATAATAGTATTATTGACTTCTCTAAGCAGCTCACCTGATAAGAAAAAATCGTGAACAACTTGAATAACTAAACTTCCAACCACTAGCCAATTATCCTGAAAGAATTCAGAGGAGAAACCATATGGCCCAGGGGCTTTTCCCCTAGGCATTCCAAATACTACCTTCTTAATTTTCTCAGTTGATACTGGGTTACAAAGGAAACCAACATCTTCTAGTAGGTGGTGGACCAGTATTTTCAATTTATCGTTGATTTATGATCTAATTTCATTATTATTATGAATAAATTAGTAACATAAATTTGAGTAAGAGTAAAAAATACATCCAAATGTTCATTATAATTAGTTATTACTAGCTATTAAAAATAATGACCAAACTATCTAAGTAGTGAAAAAATCAACACTCAATTGATTTCGTCCAACACCGTTGTTGACTCTTTCCTCCATTTCCATCTTATGGCTCCATAATCAAAGATCTCTTTTTGCCCTAAATTAACCACCCCCCCCCCCCCTCCTCCAACTACAGATGGTTCAACAACATGACAGGTATTGTCACACTCACAATTTAGGAATAGGCAATGATCTGATCCACGTCGATCCAAAGCATACCAGATTGATATTTGAATTAAACTGGATCAGATCAAATGTACTTTGATTCGATGTTGTTCCTATGAATTATTCTAAATATGAAATCAAACATATATTTGATTCAGTTCTAATTTTCATTTTCGGTTCGATTCAATCCGATTTTTGCACCGAATCCACACATATTCCCACTCACTCTTACTCACACTGTCCTCTGCCGGTGGACTTGCCCACAGTGTGTGCGATATTTTTCTTTTTTGCCTCGGTTAGTTCGTGGGGCGGGGTGGCAAAATAGTAAATGCAGGGTATACACGTGTGCGTTTCCGCAGGCTGAGCGAAGCTTTTTCAATGGAAATCTGTGAGCCCGTTGCCGTGTCTTTTCCCCCTCCGCTCTCCGCCCCCAGTTTGCCACCCTCCCTCTCCATTTAAAGCCAGAGCCTCTCCTCCTTCTCTGTGAGATACTACAGTTGTGTGCGCCTCTCTCTTGGGTTTGTAGTAGGAGAACGCCTCTGCCTCACCTTTCCGGCAAAAAATCCGCAATCCAAAACCGCATTTCCTCCTACAAATTCAGCTGCGAACCAGTCAACTTGCTCCGGCAGCTCTTCAACAATGGCTCTCAAGCTCAATCCAGTCACCTTCCCTTCCACCCGCTCCCTCAACATCAACTTCTCTCCCTCCCGCCATCCCAGATCTCCTCGCACCCTTCTCGTGGCCTCCACTTCCATCAAGTAAGATTTCCTCCCGCGATTGCTCTGGATTCTCCGCAAAATTTATCGCAGGGATTGACTGATTTTCCTGCAATCGAAACGTTTATGTCTTGTTTTTTCTTTTCTTTTTCTGTTCGTCTAATTTCATTTCTCCCTTTGCTGTGGTTTTGATTGATTTGCGACTCAGCTTTTGTTCTATGTTCCGATTGAATTTGTTTCCGTCTTTTTTGTCGTTCGTTTCCAATTGGGTCTGGAATTTGAACACCGATGGGTTCATTTCCGTGGTGCGGAAGTCATCCCACTGTTTTCCTCTTCTCCTTCCATTTAAATGCATGTGGGTACTCGTTATTTTATCAATTCGGCGTCGCCATAGCTCGTTCTGTGCTGCGTTCTTTTGTTTTCTTCTTCCCTCTCCCCCCCTCCCATGCCTTGTTTTTTTCCTGCTTATTTTAAACCACGAACGAACTGAGGAATGAATGGTATGTCTCTGCTTCTATGCTTCATGATTGGGTTTTCATTTTCTATTCCCTCTCGTTCCTGTGAGAAGATCTGCAAGATGCCTCAGTTATGTGTGGCATGCAGCCCATTATCATCTAAGCATTGTCAGTATTTGTTTTGTTTTGCGGGGTTTTCGATATGCAATGCAACTCTTGTGGTTGAGAGTTGTGGAGGGGATGGTGGTGGGTTAACTTTACTGCCTGGGTCGGCTGGTCCAGTTGGTTGACGACTGGCTCTGTGTATTGCTTTCTTGTGGGTGTTTCTTATCTATCATCTTTGTCGTCTTCTCTCATCTACCTGCTTTGGCAGGAAATAATGCCCAGCTGTTTTTTCTTGACTTTTAAGTCTTAAGCGTTTCATCTAGGAATTAACGATGCTCCATCCAGACTCCTGCAGCACCCATCGTGTCTTAAGTTGCAACATATTTGACGGCATATTTATTATCATCTCCTTCTCTCGGGGAATAATCAATTTCCTCGCTAGTTTCTTCCTTATCTCGTGTGTACGCACCTTCACCGCAAATACGGTCCAACTTTATTGTTTGGAACTATGATTGCTCAGTTTAACTAGTGTTTTAGAATCGAATAACAGATGGATTATATAGTAGCCCATGCGGTGGTTTGTGTTCCTTTGCCTTACTTGGCCAGAAATTTTCAGATCATCCATATGCGTCGATGTCAAGTTATTTTTCACATCTTTTTGTCCTGATGATGTTTATGCTTTTTTGGGTTTTGATGTTCTAGTGTAGTTAATTTCGCCACCAGATGTTGATTTTTCTTACAGTTGTTGAACTGCTCAATTCAAGGTTGTAACTTCGTGTTGTCTTTGATTGGCCAGGGAGGCTGAGAAACTAAAGAAGCCGTATGGACCTCCCAAAGAGGTGCATGTCCAAGTCACGCACTCCATGCCCCCACAAAAGCTGGAGATCTTCAAGTCATTGGAAGGCTGGGCTGAGGACAATCTCTTGGTGCACCTAAAGCCCGTTGAGAAATGCTGGCAGCCACAAGATTTCCTGCCAGAACCCGAGTCAGAGGGATTTTATGACCAAGTTAAGGAACTAAGGGAAAGAGCCAAGGAACTCCCTGATGACTATTTTGTTGTGCTGGTTGGAGATATGATCACTGAAGAAGCCCTACCAACTTACCAGACAATGCTTAACACCCTTGATGGCGTGAGAGATGAGACTGGGGCAAGCCTTACTTCTTGGGCGATCTGGACTCGGGCATGGACTGCTGAGGAGAACCGGCACGGTGACCTCCTCAACAAGTATCTCTACCTTTCCGGAAGAGTCGACATGAAGCAGATTGAGAAGACAATTCAGTATCTGATTGGGTCAGGAATGGTATGTGATTACATGTACTGCTTGTTTCTCATTCCCTTTGTTTTTACTATAAGTTTGTTCCATAGGTATCTTTCCAGCTATATGAGTGGGAAAACTTTACTATGCTGGTAGATGATTGCTAGAGTTTGTTCTGATTACATTGCTTCTGTGGTAAGACCCTTAGTTCCAGGTAACCTTAAATCTGAAACCATGGTAACCTTTATCTTCTGTCCTATTTTGAATTGAGGTTCCCCTGGTCTAGCGTTATCTGTCAATTGGTTTTTTTCTGTAGAAAGTTGTGACTCTTGCTAAGTGTTGCCATGGCATGTTCGGAACTTGCCATGTGTTGTATTTGGCAGCATTAGAATCATGTTTATTGTCGACCAACAACGTACCTAGTAGTTGGCTTAGGAAACATTTAGTTCCTTTTTTATGTCATGTGGGAGTTTATGGTTCCGACTGTATCTCATTGAAAGCAGACTGTATCCAATTAAAAGCAGACAGGTCACACGACTGATTGCAAGTACAAGAAAGCAACTGCTAGAAGTTTGTGCGAAGTTACATGTTATGTAGTAGGGAGTCTAATTCTTTTCACTCCATGTGGTGGCTTGGCTTAGATGATCATGTATTTTGACTTCTAATTTATGTGGTTTTCCAGTGCTTGTGACTAGAATACTTTCCCTTTTGGAGTTTCTAAAAATTGACCTTTTCTTTCCTGCCTAACTCTGTAGGATCCAAAAACAGAAAACAATCCCTACCTTGGTTTCATCTACACTTCATTCCAAGAGAGGGCAACTTTCATCTCACATGGGAACACGGCAAGGCTAGCCAAGGAACATGGAGACATGAAGCTGGCGCAGATCTGTGGAATTATCGCAGCAGATGAGAAACGCCATGAAACTGCTTACACCAAGATTGTGGAGAAGCTGTTTGAGATTGATCCGGACGGCACAGTGTTGGCACTGGCGGACATGATGAGAAAGAAAATATCCATGCCTGCCCACTTGATGTTCGACGGCCAGGATGACAATCTTTTCGACAATTACTCCTCCGTGGCACAGCGTATTGGGGTGTACACGGCCAAGGACTACGCAGATATCCTGGAGTTCCTGGTTGGGAGGTGGAAAGTGGAGACATTGACGGGTCTTTCTGGGGAAGGAAACAGGGCTCAGGAGTTTGTTTGTGGGCTGCCGGCAAGGATTCGAAGGCTGGAGGAGAGAGCTGCTGGGAGCGCGAAGCAACCATCCTCCCCTGTTCCTTTCAGTTGGATTTTCGGCAGAGAGCTTGTACTCTGAGTAAAAGAGACTGGAAAATGGAGTGGAATGAACCTAGTATGAAGCTCGCCGGGTGATGGATTCCTAGTACTGCTGCAGTCGTATGATAGGAAAGAAGAAAACGATCTAGCTTTAAAAGCCTTACCTGTTTTTGTTTTTCTTTTCCTCCTTTTAAGTTTCTTTTGTTTTCCAGCTGAAGTTGCTCCAAGTTCCATATCAATGTATCTTCGTCGTTCTTCTGACTGCTTTGGTAGATGCTGCTCCACTATCAAACTTGTGCTTGCTCTTCACCTTTGGTGGTGGAGAGTCAAACTCAGTTTGACGGATGCAGCTTAGAGTTTTTTTTGTTTTTGTTTCTTTCATGTGTTCTCTTTGTGTGTGATGTCGTCTGTTCTCAACTCTTTAGATACTAAGGGAATGTAGTGTACCTGGTTTTCTTCTGTTCTCTGTTTTCATCGAAATTAAGAAGGGAAAATTTTCCAGTGTAGATGTTGTTCCTTTTTAGCTTTTTAAACCCTTTTGCTCTGATGGTTGCTCGAATTTGCAATCTGTTTTTGTTCGAGCCCCTATGTGGAATATGCTTAGGTTGGTCTGGTCTCGTGATAATATCGTTAGTTTTGAACCTAACACATTTTTCAATTCACACGACCGTTAGACCATGAATACTCATGCCCCGCCCCATGCTACTGTGGGTCGGGACGGGTAATACTCATGCAGGTACGGAGGGAGGCAGGTCGACCACTCTTACATGTTATTTGAAAAAAATACACGTAAAATTTTACTTTTTTTTACAATAAAACGAAGGGGAAAACACTTTATCAATGAAAAATAGTGATAATAGAATGTGTAATTGAATTTAATTAGTTGAAGAAAAGTCAGAATAGGAGAAATAAGAATAGGTACGGTAAGAAATTGAGATTGAACGGGGCAAAGCGGAACGGGTTGGAAGAAGATACCCATGGCCTGCCCCATCACCGGCCAGAGCGGGTTCAAATTGCCATCACTAACCACGTGACATATTCTTATAACATATTTGACATATTCATACAATACATTTGGAGTATTCACGTTAAATATATCTGGCCCGCCCCGCCCAATTGCCATCACTATACATGGTGTGTGACATACGTCAGTCTGCAAGGGCTGAGAATCTAGACCAAACCGTATGGCAAACCGTAGTTTAGATCGTACTATACGATTTGGTCCGGACCGTTAGACCATGAATACAATTTGGTCTGGTTCATGGTTTGCCTCTTTCACTTTCGGTCTAGAACGGTTTGGTCTGGTCTAGACCATGGTTAACCGCCCAGACCGTGGCCAAAATTAAGCATGGACTCAGCCCAACTCGGCAGCTCCAAGCCTCCAAATTTCAATGGGGCAAGCCCGATTTCATTCTCCGTCGCCTGCGAGCACTCGCAGCCCTAGCTCCATTCGGCTGTTGCTTCCCCATCAGCCGACATTCCCAATCGCATTGACGCTGAGTGTTTGCAAGGGAGAGGCGAGAAGGGAAACCTAGCTATTCGCCGTCGGCGTCGCCTCGCCTTCCGCCATCGACCTCCACCATCTCTATTGCCTCGCCTCGCCTTCCACCATCCAGTAGCTCCATCGCACGACTTTCGCCATCGAACTCCACCATCTCCGTTGCCTCGCCTCGCCTTCCGCCATCCAACAGCTTCGTCGCATGACCTCCGCCATCAACCTCGACCACCAAAACCACAAAGTCAAGTTGGAGGGTTCTAGTTCTAGTCATTTGGACCCACTATATGAAGATTGAGAAGATAATTATCCTGGATTTGATTCGGATTCCATACCTCCTGCACTCTGTCAATTCAAATATGAGCTTGAGATGTATCTATCTCATCCTTGTGAAGGTGGAGCTGGAGGAGAGGAACCCAACTTGAGTTTGATGTATTGAAGTGGTGGATGACCTATCATTTGAGGTATCCTATCTTGGCTGAGATGGCTAAGGATGTTTTTGTTGTCCCGATGTATACAGTTTCTTCTGAGTCGGCTTTTAGTACTGGTTGGAGAATTCTAGATGACTTTAGGAGTTCATTACATCCTAAGATTGTTGAAGCACTAATCTGTAGCGAGGAATCTGAGGATTGGCTTAGATCTGGTTCCCTCCAATCTTTGGAAGATGATTATGAGGATGATGAAGCTTTCGTCAATGGTAATGTTTATTAATGTAGTTTTTCATTCCTCAATTGTCATATTTCAACTAGAATCAATACCCGCGGCGGCTACGCAACGCCGCGGGAACTAAAATTGCAGCAACATGATCGTGTGGTAGTTGGGTTAAGTGACATCAAATTGAGGTTCATTGTGTTACGGGCAATCGGAATACCACCACCAGTCCTGCTCACCCTATTGACATCATAAAGGGACAAACATGGTTTAAGCAAGGTTAATTAAACCGTATCGGAGGTTATACTAAAAAAGTGAGTGGTAGGGTATATTGTACTAAAACCGTGGTTCAACCGTGTACCAAGTTCAGCTTTGCTGAACTTCGAACTTTGATATTTGGTTCCCGTTCTCTTATTTAATATTATCACCCTTATAAAAAAAATGTGGTTGAACCGTTTCCTAACATTAAAACCGTCTGCCGGTTTGGGTGCGGTATCCAGTATTTGCGGTCCGATCAGCCTATACGTTAGGGTTTCCTTAACCTTGGGTCTAAGACGTTTAGGTGACAAAGGCAAGTTGATCCCACATGACACTGACCTCAAATACCGAATTGACCACATTTGTGTGTCTTGTCCAGTACCATTCTCCACAGTAAACATCTTATCTATGACAGAGCTGAGGCATGCATTTCTAGCGGTGTCAATGGAAGCCAAAGATTCTTCTCCTAATTCATGTAAAGTGAAATTGCTGCATAGAAAGTTAATCCAACTCCATCAACAAATGAGCTTGTCGGTTGCAACAAAACCTACAATAACAATGCGACATTCCTCTTGAGCAAACAATCGAAGTTAACAACACCTCTGTTGCAAAATCTTGGAGAATACAAAAAGAGGAGTCAATCCAAACTTCATGATATAATCAGTTTATGATCCAAACTATGGATGTTGTATCCTATCACCCATCAAAAGCTTAGATTAACACTAAAGTTCCTACATAATTGAGTAAAAGTGCATTTAGTAAAAGACACAGTTTGGAGATTCATATAAAAAAAGACAATTTTGACAACAGTTTCAGCCTTCTTAGCTTTAAAAAAAAAAATTCAGCCTTCTTCGTCTTGTGTTCAAGCTCTAGCATCTCATACTCGTCCTTGAGCTCTTCATAGTCACCATTCCTCAAGCTCTAGCATCTCATACTCGTCCTTGAGCTCTTCATAGTCACCATTCCTCGTTTCAATCTCAGCTCGAAGCCTCTAATTCTCGTTTTAGCCCACTAAATCGTCCTCCATTTTTGTTACACCTTGAATCCGACTCACTTTCCACCTCCAAGGGCTCACGCCTTTCCACCTTTCCACTTTGATCCCCACTTCACCTCCATTCATCGGCATGTCAAGTTACATGCAAGGCAAGAGCGGCCCTTCCTTGTTGACTACGGTTCGTAGAATCCAACCAAATGAGTTGCATTAGCAGTAGAACAAAGAATATAGGAAACTTCTCTTTTGGGGATACATATAACATCAAGACGGGAATGTTGGGAGCAAACCAAGCTGTAATGAAAGTATATTATTATCAGCTTGCTAAACCCCATAATAAAATTAAGTGGAAGGGTAAAAGAAAAAGAAAAACAGAGGCATAAGCAATATTAGACGCCAAACTCTGTCCAATTAAGAAGTAATACACATATATGGTTCTCTGGATTTTAAATAATAACAACAGTTCATTCCCAATTTGCAGTATGGTGTTCTAGTTTTCCATCCAAACTTTAAAATGCTAATATGAGGTTCACAGACCATTGTGCAGAAGTAAATATCCACTTTCGTGAAGTAGAATAATAGGTCACATTCTAGTCAAATTAAATATTTGTTCAAACCAAGGTTGACCCGCACCCGGTCGAGCTAGTGGGTCAAGGGTTAATGGGTCAACCGTTTTAGTCCGGTTTGGCCCGGAAATATGTAAAAAGTCATTATATTGTAATTATCCTCATAAATTATATCAAATCTTATCTAACATATGAGTTATAACATATAATATTACACCAAAATCACATATCGTACTTAGATCCAACATATAATGAAATTCACACACACTTATATAACATAAATATTCAAATATTCAACTTAGGATTCCAAAGATTGAGTTGGGCGAAAAGAAAAATCGGAAAATAGGCGCATTTCGCAAATCAAAGGAAAAAATGACACAATTTGAACTCCAACCCGGTATTTTATAGCGGTCGGCCCGGCGGGTGCGTATGACCCGTTTTTCTCATCGGGTCAGGGTCAAACTGGGTCGACCCACAGGTCAACCCGCGGGTTGACAACCTTGGTTCAAACCTAAAAACTAAGAACCTGCTGACCAATGCCAACAGGAACTTTCAGCTCGAGTAAAGCATTCTGATTGAGAACCATATCTCTTCCTTTTGAAACCTTTATATTAGACATGACTGGTTAAGACTTAAGTCAAAACCTTGAAGAAGTAATAACAGGTTAAGCTTTAAAGACAACCTGTATGCACTCAATGTGCGGAAGAACTGGCTGGAATTGGAATAGAACTAAAAGGGAAAGGACATGAAAAGAATTGAACACAATGTTCTCCTCCTTTAATTAACCGAACTACAATTCCAACGCTTGTAAGGGGACAGTTTCATTCCATAGTTCTTAATCAATGTCAATGCCATCAACATCTAATAGCCAGACAACCAGAATGTCAACGTTAAAGGCAAGCAATATACATATACTATTTATAATTTGCGGATTACTACATAAATCGTTAAGGCTATACTATAGCAAAGATCCTAGACTCATTAGGAAGCATAACCAAGAAGTAATAAACAACCATGCCATTATAGAAATAACTACAGCCAGCTACTTTGAGCAATTGTACGTCAATTGAAGAGTATGCTTGGTGTTTCAAACCATTTTATCCCAACGATTCTCAAGAAACATTTGAATGATTTGAAACAACATGAAGCTTAACTGGAAACTTAAAGCAGCCAACAAAGTATACAAATTGGTTGGCATATTTGAAAAAGGAATTCTATTAATGAACTCACCTCTTTGCCAAGCTGGCCCATATTATCAGCAAACCTCTGTATTTCTTTTGCCTAAAGAAGATCAAACAACACAGCAAGGTTCATAATAATGTACGTATTGAGCAATTATAAGAATGTAGAAGCAAGAGAAACATAGAAGCAAAAGAGACATAACCTAGTGACTTCAAAAGTAAAAGAGAAGTAAACCTGTCAACAGATGCCAAAGAGATCAAGCACTAAACCTTAACCGTTTGCTAATAATTTTAGAACTTGCTTCATATACGATCTTATTTGAGGATCCATTTCAAATTTTACGATCTAACAACAGGCACAAACTCTTTGCTTTGGTTTGCAATACTATGAAAAGAATGAAATATGGGGAAAATTTAATTGTCAAAGCATCTCTTGATAAAACAAAGCGACATAGCAAGTTTTTGAGAAACTCACAATGGCTTACCATTGGGACCATGAAACCAAATCAGAATAGGCAAGAACGTTGGTCAAAATAAGTATAATATTAGAATTAACAACACCTACTTGAAGAGTTCCAAAGATCTGTAGAATGGACTGGAACAGGTAAGTAACGAAGGTGTAGGAGAATCAAGTTTCTCGAATTTAGCAGCAATAAAATCATGCTTATATTGCAGGTATTACAGGTCCTTACCTGTAAAAGCAAATGATGGTAAATAAATTAGTTTCATATGGAAGCTGAAAGGTCCAGAGATGAGAGGCGAAGCGAACAAATCCATTAAACCCAATAAAAAGATTATGAAAGTTTGAACTACATAGAGATCCGACACTGCTCTCGGAACCCATAGGGAGCAGCAAGGTTGGTGATTTTGTTTAACCGAAACAAACAATGCAGCAATACAAACTCACTAAGTCTTAGAGAATGTTAGCGATAAATGAATTAGTGAGCGAGTAGATCGAGACAATCAATAGAGAAAAAGCACCTTTCAACCTCTGTCTCTGCGACCCAATCACCCGCCGGCTTAATCGCCCTTCGCACCCTCGTACTCTCTCGCTTCTCCGGTCAGATCCCTTCCTCCATCTCCAACCTTCGTGGTTCTGGCAGGAAAGTTCCATTGCAAGGCACCGCCAATCTGGGGATGCCACCGATTCCATATTCACATAAATCAACTATTCGAACTTATTCCGCGAAATAGAATCAGCAACGAAGATCACCTCTTCCCAGTCATCCTCTGCAAAAGCTGTCGGTGGGGGAGTTCTTGAGCATCAGTACCAGAGCTGACACGCCCAATCCCACCAGAACCAGTAGGAGAATTCTCTCTGCCGTCGGCATGTTGTCGTCCGCCTGATCCTGCAGCTATTTCCGGTCGCCGACGACCGAAGAAGAGTTTATGCTCATCATCGTTACACTTGCGTCAGTCTTCTCCATTGTGTAGGCTCGCCATACCACCAAAACACAACTTTCATATTTGCAGGGAGTGGAAGCTCCAACAGAGAAATCAAAGTGAACCCTAAAAATGGTGGATTCCCACTCTTGCTGCCACTGCAACTTTTGGCTCAGTGGGTGGAATCGAAAGAGAGAGCTGAAGGATAAAACGGATTGGTATGGATGGAATAATTCCTGTAATGGAATTGGGTGAGTGAAAAGAGAAGTTATGGGAGAAAAATTGAGGGATGTGACTTGAGAAAGAGGTGTATGGGAGAAGGATTGTCGGGAAGGGAGAGGGAAGGTGAATTTTTTTACTTTCAGAGGTAAGGTGAAAGGTAGGGTTAGTTCATTGGTACTTGTGGAACAGTGGAAGTCATCTCTTTTCTTTTGGTTTTGACAGGACATGGATAGGGTGTCTTCTTTTCAGCATCAGTGCGAGGGATTGGGAAAAGGGGCAAGAAGACTCTTTCAGCCTAGAGCTCACTAAACGCCAAGAATTGAAACAGTATATAGAAGGTTTGGGCAAAAAGCGTACCCACTAATTATATATAAAAAGAATTATGAGTTTTGGATTTGCTAACTAGTCATATGAATTTTTTTCTTCCTTTGTTTAGTTTACAATGTCCTTATGGTTGAGCAACAACTTGAGATCGGAGTATCTCAAGATTCTAGTGTGAGCAAAGAGATTGGAGGAAGTGATGATGTTGCCTCGACTTCGAATGTGTGAAGGACAAAGAGAGATTGGTGTTTCAATTTGCACTTTGTAGTTTGTTGAACTTATTAGTATTGAACTATGAATGTTGTTTATTCTTAATCTTATGTTATGTTGGGTTGTAGACTTGAAATTGTTGATGTTATGTTGACTTTTGAAATTTGTTCCATTAGATGTCAATGTGTTTTTTATTTTAGTCACTAGCTAATATTTAATATTGGATAATACAGGATTTTATTCATTAAGAAATAACATAACAATATTTCCTAAACCTACGACTTCTTTCCTTCTCCCTCTAGCCGAAATCTCTTTCTCTCTTACTCACCTTGTCGTCGCCCCCCTCCCTCCTTGGGAGACCGAGTTCTTCCTTCCTCTTCAATCTTCCCCACTTCACTCCCATTTTTCCTATTCTTTTCCCTAAATTCCCAATCATCCGATTGATCTCCTTCGTACGAACCCTAGATGGACACGCCTAGATCCATACTTCTTTTAATGGGGAGGTTGGCGTTGGGAGTGTTGAGGGAGTTGGAAGATTCGTGCAAGACTCTAGTGGGTAACTCTTATTTGCCATCTTCTGCTCACTGGCTGCCTCTTCAATTTCTCTGTTGCCTCTGCTGCTATTGGTTTCGTCCCCAAATCCCTCTCCAATTCAAAGAAATCGATGCTCGACATAGGGGGACTCCCTGGCGTACGACAGGGGAACTCTAGGAGAGGAAGGGTCAAGAAATGGGGTCGAGTTAATGGTTTGGTTGGGTCGGTCTGACGTGGCTTATTTTCTTATGTGGCGGGTCAGATTTTATTTTATTCTTGTTAAATTAAGTGACTCATTGTTTCTGTTAGCCACGTTAGCAAAATACTGATCACAGCGTTAACGAAAGCTTACAAAGACTAACGGAGATGACCAAACTTGGATATCTAATCCTAATAAATACAAATGGAGTAAAATATTTTTACTGGCAAACATGAAATGTTTTAGTAATCCTAGTGACCAAACTTGCAATTCATCCTATATTATTCATTAGAAAGAATGAAGAAACCACCTTCCCATGGGCATGCGAGAAACTAGAATCATAGTTGGTAAAATATAATACAAATATTTACATATAAATAAGTATGAATATTTTAGTAGAACAAATGGTATGTTTAATAGTATGCTAATAATCAAAATATATTACATTAATTTCTTTAGAAATAAATAAATATGTAAGTATTATTAAAATTATCGATTAATTCATTAAATATAGGTATGAAGCATGACATACAGTTTTTATACTCGTTCACACAAGCCAAGAAAAAATAAAAGCAAATAAATGAAATGACTTGGCAATAATACAAAAACCGAAATTTCAATCGGATAAAATATATACGATCATACATAAGTAAATGAAACTGTTTGGCAATAATACAAAAACGAAATTTCAATCAGATAAAATACATACGATAAGTATATTAAACTGAGTATTAACTATCTAGTACTAGAACACTAGAACAGTAAGATATTAAGTATTCACCTTCTTTTCCGTACGTATTTACATAAATAAGATACTAAATACATACAACGAAGAGATTACAATCAAATCTTATCTGGAAACCTACACCATCTACCCGACCTGTCGGCTGTTAAATTGACAGAACTACAATCACAGTGACGCAAGAAAAAAAAACTAATGGGAAATGATGAAACACATCCCTCCATCTTTTTTTTCTTTTGCCTTGGCCACAAGTTATTAGAAGTCCGACTTCATTAGCTTTACTCTTGGCTTTATGTTAATGTGCTCGAATGGTTTCCCTTGCTCAACATGGATGTAGTCCCTCGTCTTAAGCACCTGCAAGCACACAATATAAAGGCAAGTCCATAAACCGACTAGACCAAAATCCAAAGGCAATCAATCCCACCAAGATGATGTAACAACGGCCAGCCAACCCTACCAATGTCTCAAAAAACATCCTCGAGGCCTCCTTGCGTGTTTTACCAGCTAGCAGGTTCTCCATCGACACAACGTTGCGGCCTTGACCTGCTTCTTCGTCGAATAAAGTTTGGAGGTACTTGGCAACAGCTCTACAGGAGATGCAATTAACATTATCAGGTGCACCAAAGTTCACAGTTATCTGTTGGATATATACAGAGGGGAAAACACATAACCATGTCCATAATATTCGCACTCACCTTGTCCGGGAAGACCATCCACTGTTGTCTAAAAGACGAGTATCTTCAACAGAAGGCATGTCATTGTCGTCTTCTCCCATCTCATCGTCATCAACATTCAAAAATTCTGGAAATAGAAAAGTGTCAAGAAGCACAATGGTCCATAAACCATATTGGGGGGAGAGAGACAAAGCAAGCCACAATCAAAACATTTTGACAGACCAAACAGCTAGGAAAGTTCCTAGAGGAGGAAGTTCGAGACAGTTCTGACAATGTCATTAGCATACTAAAAATAAGAGGCCGCTTAGGCTTTGTGTAGCTGGAGTCACATTCAACTCATCACTTAGGTGATTTTCAGCGATATTACAATTTTTTTATTAAGCAAACTTATAATCTTCTAGAGGCTTAACATCAAATATTCAACTTATAGCTAGGAGGGCGGCGGACTAAGCAAACACAGAAGAGTATAATGGTGGTGACAAAGGAAATCAAACCTGTGTCATTGGTGAATGAGATGTCTGGAAATTCCTGTCAATAGAAACAAAAGTGCATATTTAGAGCACAATATTTAATTTTTTTAAGTTTCTGTGATATTATCAGTATGTGAAAAAACAATTAAAGAGTATGCACAAAGCACTTGGCTGCATTATCTATCCATCAAGATAGTATCACTACAAGATAGTCCGTCGCGGCTTATAGCAAGCCTGACAATGCAGGAGATTCCTCGCCATGGAAGATCAGCATATAAAAACAACTTATCACATGCTCATTGTCAGATGCTGATAGATTCTCAGGAAGAAAGAACAAACAAAATTGTTTTAATATATAGATGCTATGCATTTGTTAGTCTGTTTTCCTTATTATTTACTTAAACTTAGAACTGCTGGCTCTGTCCATACATAATGTTTGCAATGCTCCAAAACAAATGAAACCCGTAACTATTATCCTAACAGACTGTCTTGAGCTGAGGATACTTTGGTTTCCTTTACCCTAAATGCATATCAACCATCACCAGAAAATGTGCAGAAAAGAAGTTCGAACATATCTCAAGAAGCAGGGTTTGAACATCCTAGACCCACTGCTTAGAATTCGAGCATATATCAAGATGGAGGTTTTGAATTAATAGGCCCACTATTCATCCATCGCCAGTTGCAATCATATGGCCTAACAGTTGGATGCCAACAGATGCAACATGGCCACCAGCAAAACAACCAAACCAAATATGAGACAGAAACAACAAATAAAATTTGACTACAAATATTAATCAAAGTGATCGATTTTACCTGAACTTAGGATGTTACAGGTGGTACAACTTAGTCAGTGGAACAAGCAAAGACAGCCATTTAATCTAACGTCTGGCAACTAAACCAAAAGAGAACATTTAACAGCATAAGTAAAGTGGAGAGATTCAACTTACACATTGATCTTCAGTGGCAAGACAATCAAGAACAGTTACTTCTGCATTTGTGGTAGTTTGGCAATTGGCATCTTGAGAAACTACATTATTACCATCATTAAAACCACTGTTCTTAACATCATCATCACATCCTGCAGAATGTGCGGAGGCCATTTTCAATTCTTCACTATGACTACAAGACTTATCCTCAACATTGCGCTCAAAGCCCATTACATCACATCCATCCTCGCTACCAAGCCTAACATTTCCATCATCAGCATGTTCCAGGGCCTGCTCATTTACTAAGGCAATGCCAACACATCCAATCGTGTCAAACGTAGCTGGTTTGACACAAGGTGCGTTACCATCGGCTTGGTCACCTGTGATTTGAATAGCAGGGTCATCTTTGCATTCATGCATTAGAAGTTCCTCCTCCAGGATAAATTCACTTCTGGTAGCAACTAGAACATCCCCATGATGGCCAACCATGTCAACTCCATCTGGTAGTTCGTCATCATTCATTTCCTTCAAACGTGTTTCCTCCTCAGCTGGCACAGTATATATCTCATCAGACAGCTCGTTTATAGCATTTGTCTCCTTCAAAGCATCCTCATGAGAAATTTTGCCCAAAAAAGAAGTCTCGGTAGAAAGCATGACAGGCTTCCCTGAAATATCTAGGGGAGCATGCTCCATGTGGGATGTCTCAAATCCATCTGGTGCATCAGTTTCTTCAGCATTCTCCTTGTTAGCCCCTGTATCTAGCTTTCCCTCGAAAAATTCATTGCTTGTTGTTCCAAGATCAACAACAATGCCAATATCATCTTTCTGCCCCACATTACCACAAGCACTAAAAAGTTGGTTCTCATCTTGATTGTCCAGAACAGGAGGCTCTACTGGTTGTTCACCATCAATTTCTCTACAATCTACAGGTTCAATGATCTTGTCCAATTCACCACGTTGGTTAACAAGCGTTGCGGAACATTCTACATCCACAGCAGTATCTGAAGACACCTCATTTTTTACAACCCTTATTCCACTCAAATCAAGGGTTTCATTGTGCAAATGCATCAATTGTGTTACCATACCTGTAAAACAAAATCGTGTGCGGGTTGTATATGTATGAAGGCAGGTTTGTGTCATGGAAGAAAGTAAAAAAGCATTATCTGTATAAATGCAAGTCTGATCTGAACTCAGTAAATGCAAGTCTGATCTGAACTCAGTGCACTTACCAGATAAGGTTGGTGCAGTCAAAACTTCATCTTCCAAAAATTGCCTTTGCATCGTCACTATCTCCATCTCTGTGCAGGGAGCCTTCTTCCGTAAACGGCGTATGTCCTCGGTATTAGTCAATTGTTGACGTATTGTACTAAAAAGAAAAGATAAAATTAGTAGCTGTAACTGCAGGAAAGACAGAAAAGTAGTATATTCCAAATTTTATCAATGAGCGGTCAACTGAATAGTCCATCAAACTAGCAGTAAGAAGTACTTAGTATCCCACAGAGTATAGTCTGCACTCCGTAAACATCAATCAACAAGTTAAACACTCCAGTAATAAGCGTAGAAATCATAGAACCATTGCAGATGATTAAAAAGATGTAGCATGTTATGCCTATGCGACTACATGTTTAAGTTTCCAGGAATTCCAATCAAGTAGAACAACAGAGCACATAGATCAAACAAACAAAAATCGCGCAGAAGATGAGAATATGACATACTCCCCGTGCAGAACCATCATCTCATCCATGACCACTTTCCTCTTGAAGGCACCAAGACGGGAAGTGGGACGAGAACGTTTCGCAGTTGGCATCTCCGAAGCAGGTGGAGTAGGTTTCAGCCGCAGAACTGAAGATTTTCTCCCAACTGCCAGAACAAACAAAAACAGCTTGATTCTCACAACTGTAAACTCAAATGCCATATAATAACTGTCTTTTCATCTTTCAAGTATTAGGGGATCTAAAATGCCGAATGACAAGTCATCCATCTACGCCAAGTGAGGTCACCAAAAAGAAAACAAAAACAAATACCTAAAATAGAAGAGAGTAAATCATCATCTTCAGGAACGGACTCTGACACCGAGGTTCTTTTCGTTCTAGATAATCCAAGTGACTCCACAGAATTTCCACTTTGCATATTTAAGGAACTTTCAGTAAAGCTGCGCTTTCTCCCAGAAACTCTATTCTCAGAGCCATTCCCATTACTGATTCCTAAGAGTTCACTGACTGGTGTTGACGCATTCATCAACTCATCAGGTCTATCAAGAACCTTCTCCGGTACAGAAAGCAATTTTTCAGGTACAGGGAGGTCATCAACCTTCTCAGAGTGCTCATTCTTTTGGTTTTCATTGTCCAGTTTGTCTTCCAACCTGTGGCCTCCGTCCAAAACTTCCTCCTCAAAATCAGTCTGTATTGTCTGAGGCTTGTTCAACAATCCGCTGTCAGCTAAATTACACTCCTCACCTACAAATTTAAAACCATCCAAGTTGTAACAAAGTTATGAACAAGTTAACAACCACTAGCAACATAATAGAATCACTTCGCAAGAACCCAAGTTCAAAGAGCTCCCAGCAAAGACCTTGATCATTAGTAGAAGTCCCATGTGAGTAATTATCATCTTGTGTTTTAGATAGGGCAGCCAAGGGTGGTTGTATGTCTGGAGGAAGAACAGAGTCATTTGGATTTGAGTTGCATGGCCGGAGTCCAAACATGCTAGTAGATGGATTCATCTGTCTGTCACCGATATTGTTGTTTAAATTTGCCTCTCCCTGTAACGGATGTATTTCAGTACTAACATGCTCAGGAGCTGAACAAGACTCAGATACACGGGCAGTATCTTGTGCTACCATTTTGTCAAGCAATTGTCCTCCCGCATCTTTAGAAGCATCAACAGGACCAGTCTCTAGCAATCCAGCCCCAAATGAGTTTTCACATTTCTCGTCCATTAACTCCATTGGCTGTGGAACTGGTTCAACACCTCCTACGACTTTCTCTTTATATTCATCCACCTTGTCCGCATCCTGCAAACCACTAGTAGTTCCGTCTTCCTGCGTGTACTCCATAGACACTGGAGCGGCGTACACAGCATCTTCAAGAGTTGCATCATGAATTGTTAAATCAGAAACCAGGCAGACATCCTGCTCAGTTTCCTGGCATTGAATACGACCAATCACTGAAGAATCAATTGCTCCATCCCTGTGATGAAGATCAGACTTGCTATATAAATGTTCTGTGCTCTCTGCACCATGTATATCTGCCGAATTGCGATCTTCTGATTCAAAATGATCATCACAGACCAGCCCATGCTGAACACTGGACAGGTTTGGCTCTTCTACTAATACAGGAGTAGATGGAGCTTGAGCATATTCAGCAAGCTCTGCATTTGGAGATAGACATCCAATCTGCAAATGAGACAACGGGATATTAATCAAATTGGAGAAGATCATACAAAAAATGGAGGCATAATGAACTAGATTTGGAACGCAATTTCAACCTTGTTTCCACTACCATTCACAAGAACTGATGCAGAGGATGCCGCAGCTCTGAAGTCCCTTTCACCTCTTTCTGGTTCTTCTGTAACATCAATCAACGTCCTAGGATCAACTCTGCAACAAAGAAGAAAGATTAATCTATCAGCGCTGTGTGTGATTATATAAATTCATACAATGAAATCATCAGTAGTTAACTTAAGTAGATCTAGATGGCATAAACACTGCTAAGGTCCTTAACCTAGCAATTTGATATCTCTACATCCTGCAAGAACCAATTATGAAATCTTCGAAGAGTTTTTCCATAATAGAAAAATGCAAGCAATCCAAAACTCAGCAAGACATGAATAAAAAACTTAACAGCTGGAAAACTAATCCTAGCTAACCACTGGATTAAGCTAAACACTCCACACACTGGTAACCCACTTCTCATGGAACCTAAACAACAAACGAAAAGACAAGAATAGTTATACCAGACAACCTACAATTACTTAAAAATCAATTGGAGAATGGAATGAACTCATCAACTGTCGTTTGCGCTCAAAGAGATGAATGTAATGAGATATAGATAAAATGTCCTACTCTGAAACCTCATTGGTCCCTGAAGCTGCCGCATTGTTAAGGAACAATTCCTGTGCACGAATGAAAAAGTATAACATTACCAAACAGAAAGAAAGTGAGCAGAACCAGAATGATAAAAGCACTAGAACCTCACAATGAGAATAAGTGCGCACATAGTTAATGTAGGGGGAATGACAGCTAGCGAGAAATAAAAGAAGCACAAAACTCGTTACATTGCCAGGAGAAGTAGAGAAATTTATAAAGCTCCAAATCTTTCAAATACAAACAAATGAAACCTTGCCATGGAAATAGATTGTCTTTCCTATAATTATTCATAAGCCTCATGTCTGGTTGTCGAGAACTGAGATCCAGAATGAATGACCAGTTTAACAACAATAAAAAAGAAAAAGAAAAAAACACGTCCATATTTACGAAACTATAGAAGTATGTGCGAGCATGCAGTACAAAATTACCTCTTCAAGCTCCAAACCAACTTGTGAGGTATCACCATCACCAAATCGCTCTGAAACCAAAACACACTAAATTTAATAACGATTTTAGGAGCATGCATCAGAGCAACACATTTTGCCACGGTGAGCAACATCACAAATGGTCGGAAAGGCAGATACGAACCATCCAATCCAAACTGAGATGTGGTATAAACCACACCCTCCATAGTGTCTTGAAGGGTAATTTGCTCCCTTGAACTAATGTGATGATCGACAAAATTACTGAAACATATAAACAATCTTTGAAAGTCAATACAGTAACATAAACTCACAAAAATGATCAAAACAAATGCATTAATTCCACAATCAGTTTGGCATTAAAATAGACCCGTTATATATTAAGGTATCTACCATAATTATAATCAGACTAACATTAATGTTGATCCAGGACCTAATGGCAACAAAGAGATCCAAATTATCATATATCTGATGATATTTTCAGGTATAAACACTAACAATAAATTATATCAATTTCTGTGAAAGTCTGGAACTAACCCCTGGAGAATATCATTATCTGGAAGTTCGAAATCATCAAGATCAAAAGTCTCGGGCAAGGTGATGGAGTGATATGGAGCAGTTGACTCTTCAGGTGGCAAATCAACTGCAGTGGACCGAAAAGCTTGCTTTATCTTTAGCAAAGCCTCACTGCAATCATCGAAAAGGTAATTCACCTTCCTATTGTATATCCTCACCACACCAAGCAGAAGATGACTGGAAAGCCTTAGTGCAATTGGTACTTCAGGGAACAGAATTGAATCTGCGGAAGACGGCAAAATCATTAATAATGGAACAGTCTATCCTAAATACTTGGTAAGTAATATTAGATTTATAATAGAGTTCTTATCATGATGCGCTACATTGTGTAAAACAGTCCAATAGAGTTTAGCAACTAGCAGGTATAACATTTACTCCAGTTATGAAAATAGATTCGCTACCAATGGCCTTGATATCATCAATTTTTTTTTTTTTTGTTGACCTAGTGTGCTTCAGTACTACATAAGGCAACTTGGCATTTAAGATAAACAACACTGTCAACAATTAGACCATAAATTAATATGCTTAAAAGATCCTGAAGAGCTAGAATGGCTACAAGATTCTTTCCTTTTTCTTGAAGATCTCTGGTCAAGGATTCAATCCCAACTAAGATCTCTGGTCAAGGATCCAATCCCTGACCCCTTCAACTACTAACGAAGAAATAAATAGCCAATATCAATCACATTAATTAACTGAAGCTACCATATACTCGTCACTGCTGACAAATGCTTTTCATCCTGAACTGGTGTGATACAAACATGCTTACATTGAGAGAGGAGAAGAAGAAAGTAAAACAGATTTGCTTGCTAGTGACTAACTCCAGCTGTTCAGCAAATAGTAAATGACCATGCCGAAAAGGAGAAAAGAGAAAGAAAGAAACACATAAGAAGATTAAATCAATGCTTATAAAATCACCAATTTCTGATAAGATACTATCGCAGAGTTCAGTAGTCTCTAAGAAAAGGACATAAAAGTAAAACATTTCAAACTAACTAGTCACCGGAACAGTATTTTTTTTCCCGACATTGAGGAAGTTATTGCACCAAGAACGTGAGTTTCTTTACCAAACCAATAAACACTTCAAAACTAACGCCTTTTTTTCCAAATCAATCACTCACGTCTACTCGTAGTAATCGTGCTTCCTTATTGTCATCTTTAATAAATTCTTAAGGAACAGAGTCTGAAAAATGCAAGTAAGATGGGAAATATTGAAAACTCACCAACAGATACACCAATATCAGTATCTGCAACCTGATTCTTCCGCAGCTTCCTTTCCAAATGAGCGGCTATCCATATCGTACCCAAAGGCCCTTTCTTGGCCAGTATGAACTGGGAATAAAACATTTCTCTTACCCCAGGGAGCAGAAACCCTAGGGTTGCATACAAGTATTTGTCTTCTCCGCACCACTAGGAACTAACAGCAACTAACTTAAAACCTAACCACGACGTCCCAAATTTACAAGTAAACAAATCCCATATCGTAGCACTGCAACAACAACTTAAATCACACCTAATACACCATTCTAAAAATACATGTTACAACAAAGCTCTCCACTTCCTTCAGACAGAAAACCTAAAGCTAGCACAGTCAGCTCGGAAAGAAGATGTGGGAGGGCAACTATCAAGAAACTGAGAGAATCCAGCAGGAGAAACCCAAAGTGGTCTCGGAAAGGTGAAATTGCAGAGATCGATAGCTGGACTGGCCAGCAGTGAAGAGGAGAAAGAGAGGGAAAGAGGGGAATTGTGGTTCGGAGAAAATAGAAATGAAGAAAGACAGGAAAGAGATGGGGAGATGGCAGATTTCAAATTGCAGGAGAAAAATGAGCCAGGAACAAGGAAAGTACGAGGAAGGCGAGAAGCAAGGATTGCCTGAGAGGTGAGCCAGAGAAAACCCTAACTCACCGGCGACGGAGGCGATCCTTGAAGGAAGCAGATGAGAAAAGCAAGCAGCGAGCGAAGAACATCTGCTCAGAGCTTCAGCTTGAGCTCAAAATAGTCTACAGCAGTCAAAATTCTGGTTGTCTGGTAGAGACAAGAAGATATTAAACAGTAGTTAGCAACAACAGAAGAAACGGAGCCGAGAGAAAGAGAGATCGGACAGCCGGAGAAGAATATGCGATATAATGTATGTCGAAACAAAGAAGTAAAACGCGAGTAGGAAGGAGAGAGAGAGAGAGAGAGAGAGTTCATTTCCAAAATGAACCCTCTAAGATCATGTGACTGTAGCTAAAGTCAAATGGCTAACTTTATCTGAACCGTCAATTTTAATCGCCAAATCTAATGGAGCGTGTGGAGGAACTAGGTGCAGCAGATGGTATGTTCATTTATTGGGTTTATCATTTCGTTTCACTTTTATCACTAGAAGATTTTAATTACATTAGTTATTAGAATTATATTTTTGTTTCATGGTCATTTTTCGTCCATTTCTGTTATTTTTATCCTATTTGATCGTTAGATTAATGACTTGTCAATTAAAATTTAAAAACAGAGCATCTATTTTCTCATTTCTACTCACATTAGGCCTAACCAGCCCAAATCATTCCCTAAGCATTTTGTGAAGAAATAGATTCTGGACTCAATTGTATTTACGTCATGGGTGTTAGAGATTATGATGTCGTGAAGAAGGCAACGGAGTCGTCCTGATCGTGAACCAAGGAATTTTTGTCCGCGAGGAGCTGGAGAAGCAGGAATGAGCGAGGCTTGGTTCATGATGGATGTCAATTTGGTGGGGAGCTCCATTGTCGTGAAAGCTGCTATGTCATGGATGAAGAGTCGGTCCAACTTGAGGCCGGTACCTATTGCTCTCATGTTGTCGCAAGCCAGCCAAGTAGTTACGATGGTTAACCAAGGAATTTTTTGGTTTCTTTGTCGCTGAATTGCTGATTTTTCAAGTGGGAGTGTACGGATACACGACTTATTCCGCTAGTAAATTACAGCTCTCAGACATGACATAAGCGCTTCATGTTAAAGTCATCGTTGATGATATTTATGTCTCTCTTATATTCCTTTTGGGCACTGAAACACCTGGTTTGGCTGAAGATACAAGAAGTTAATCTATTTCACTTAGGGCTCGTTTGCTTGTTGGATTTGAAAATGAAGGTTTTGAGTTTTAAAAACCTTTGGATTTATGATGGATTTGTTGCATCATGGATTTGGAAGAGTACATTGTTTGTTTAGTTGATTTTTTATCATGGATTTGTGATGGATTTGTCTCACATTTTTTCCTTCTATTGTCAAATCCCAAATGAAATGTGGGATTTACAAATCCGTGGGGTCCACGGATTTGGATCTAAAAAATGGGTCCAAATCCGTGGACCCCACGGATTTGTGTCCCTCAACAAACAAAGGATTTGTGTCAACTCCATGATGCTTGGGATTTGGGTTTCAAATCCATCATCCAAATCCCACAAGCAAACGACCCCTTAGTATTAGCTATTCCTATTTCCTAGAGAGGTGCTTTAATTTGGATATTTCCTCGAAAATGTTGTTTGCAATAGGATGAATTGTATAATTCAATTTGAAGAGTGCTTGTTTCATATTGTGTCATAAATAACGATTGATTATTTTCATATGTGTATGGTGGAGGAAAATAAAAATAATCTTTTTATGGTTTTTTTATCAATCGCATTTGTGAAGTGAAAATTTAAAGTAATTCATTTTTATTTTTTTAATTGAAGAATCACTAATTTAACTGTCAAATGTGAGAGTCGATTGCCAGATTGGATAAATATAATGAAGTTGTACAGAGAGTGAACAGTGGTGAACGAAAATATAAAGTTAGTGACCACGAATGAAATTAAAATTTTCCAATGGCAAATGTAACACAAAATGGTAAACTTAGTGACCACTATGGTTGTTAAAAAGCGACAACACCTAAAACTAGTGTTATTAACCTCCTACTTGTAGGTGTTTGAATGCCATAATCAACATACTTTGCCCATTTTGGTTGATTTCATGCGATATTCGCTTCATATCTTTATACCCTAAGCTAATTAAGTATGACTTTATTGTTTCTTGACCATTTTGCCTCGTAAATTGTTCATTCTCGTCCTACTCTAGACTGGGTTGTGTTGTCTTTTCTAATCTCAAATCCTAGCATGATATAGAAGGGGCATGTCAAGTTTTGTGCTAATCGAAAGTCATTTGAAGGGTGAGAAGAAGGTGGAAAGAGGACTAAAGGTCAAATTCACGATCGCGCAACATGCAATTCAAGACCATGAAAAACATTTTCTCATACCGCGAATCTCCATTCCTCTGTCGTGCATTAGCAACGTCGAGTTTAGCTCAAGCCAAGAAGGATAAGATGGATCTAGCTCAATATTGGTGTTTTCCTCCTACTTGTATTATTTTTTTCTCTCTCTATGTTCTAGTTTCTCTTGTTGTTTAGGAAGATGAATCCTAACTTGTAGATTGTTTATGGGTTTGTATGTAAGAATGATTGCCAACCTATCTATCTATCTATCTATCTATCTAGTTATAGTCTAGACCTAATGCTCTAGGTACCTAGTTAGTTATATGACCATTAAGCTAACAGAGATACGTAGAAATGTGGTTATGATTTATGTGACATGACCATTGCAGCAAGCCAACAACCACTAGTCTAAGTGATATTTCACAACTTAAAAGTTAGGGTATCCTTCATTAACTTTCATTCATCCCATGTTAACCTATAACTAGAGGGATTCGACCTAACCAACAACCTTTCTCTTGTGATCTCCCACGTAGTTAGTTTTGTTTCTTACTTTCTTTGGTTAGTTTAGCTCACACTTAAACCCAACTATCTCGTTTGGCTAGATAGTAGATCGAGGCTGAGAGTAGTAGTAGACCTAGTGTTCCCCAGGAGTATGACCTCGATCACCACTATACCACTTTGCGAATCTAGGATACCCTTTTCCTCGATTAGGGTAGTTAATATTGTCGACGAGTGAGCTATAAATTGTAAAGCTGAATGTTGACACTTCAAAAATTATATTAGTTGTGATATGTAAAATACAATTCTTATGAGTGAGATCTTTCCGATTAAACTCAATTAAAGAATCGGAAAAGAGAATTTTGGTTTGGAGCCGCCACTAGAAATAAAATCCAGTTGGTAGAACCTTGGGAAAGAAATTGAGATGGGAGAATAAAAAAAGTAGAGATTAAGGATTGAGAGAAATTGGGGAAGAACAAGAGAAGATGAGATTTATGGATTTTGATATTCTTATTGCTTAATTCCAAATGAACGTTCTGAATCCTTTTTTATGAGTTTCGGAGAAATAACAAGAAATGACAATTATGCTACTCCTAACTCGGCCCAAATGGCCTCTCCCGCCACTACTCGTCTCACCCGCTCGGCGAGTGTCTATCAATTCCGAAGGTATAAGTGAAGAAAATGGTGTAGTTCTTAGTGTAATGAATTTTTCTCACATGTTTCAACTTTTGAGGTCAACCCCCTTGTCTTTTTAGCTATGGGTGGTTGAAGTTGATGTTGTTAGACTGTACTTTTGAGGTCATCCCATAGTGTAGGGTTGAGAGAATACTATGTCATTATCATTACTATAGCATGTTAATCTTTGAAAGTGCAATTGGCTTATGAGATGTGTTTGACTAGACTTTGACTACTGTATATTAATATATATTACTGTGCCTTTTCATTTCAGCATTGCTTCCTCAATCGTGTATGGTTTCAACTACAAATATGAACTTGTCGTAGAAGACACTGATGTGCCAAGTCTTTCTGCACTCATACCAACTGAAGCTGAAAATGGATACAGATGTATCTCGAATCTTTTGTTCAAAAATTGGTCTTCTTTCAATGTATAAACCACTTATATGGAGGATTTTCTATTTAAGGATGTTCTTATTACATCGAGTTTGTGCATATGGAGCGGTCACGTGCTCTTTTACTTTTTGAAATTTGTATATACAAGTCTTTTAAATTTATGTGTGTCACTTTTCAGTACAAACACTTGCAAACGGAAATCTGTTAGAGTTTGCCTTCCAATTTTTTTAGTGCGCTAATTATACCATCATAAGTAACCAAGCACGTCATTCTCATCTCTCATCCCTATTGTTTCGTGCCACATAATATCTATGGATACTGTGAAAGTAAGAGAGGGAGTCATCCATTCCCAGCATGGTGTCACTTGCGGGAGCAATATGTCGTGTAAAATCCTCAATACCAGACTTCGTCATTTATTCAATCAACAGTTGATTAATTATAATTTCTTAGGACATTATCATGTCATTTAATTTTCTGTTTGTTGATTTAGGGAAATGTTGTGCTTTCCTCCAGTATGAGCTTATATTTCATTATGGTTCATCAGTTGAAAAATATGTTGATGTATTATCCAAAAGTAACGTTCCACGGATAGATCATTACCTACCATTAATTATGTTCACCTTCTATTATTGTTGCAAAGAGAGTATCCGTTTTTCACGAGCAAAATGCGTAATTTCCTCAAGTGAAAAACTTTTGGACTCAATGACTAAATCTCGCATATGCGTGTTTTGTTCGCAATTCGGCAAAACCCTCCAACTGTGAAGAGTGACTTCTCTGGAATTAATTCTGAATTGTCTAAACATGCTAGGAGGATTTCATTATGTTCATGTCCTTCCAGCACTTTCATATGGAATTAGAGCAAATAAGTTCAATTTCTAATTGTACATTGCTTTTTTTTTTATATAAATGGATGCAAGCATCCTAACCTTCATTCATAACCAAACAGGGCTCAGAGATCCCCTGAGCATCATACATAATCCAATACATCAAAGTAGGATCGTTAACAGGAAAATGATGGAAACCAGGAGGAAAAACATGGCCTCGAACGCGAAGAGGGGTAGGAGACACTTGACCACCCTAATCACTTGTAGCAATTGCTGCACCACCCCAGAAACAGTCCTTCATGTGTTGCGGGACTGTCCCTTTGGCCGGTTAACTTAGATAAAGCTTCTCCATCCTTCTGAGTACCAAACCTTTTTCGAGTTGAATTTGCAGGAATGGTTCGCCAAGTATCTAGCTATGGAGCACACTGGCCTGATGTTTGGGCTTACCTGCTGGTCCCTCTGGCGGACCAAAAATGACCGAGTCTTTGCTAACAAGATCATTACAGTCGAGTCCTTTCTACAACGC